TGTTAAGGTAATTAAGTTATGGGTGGGAATGTCAGAACAAACATTTGGGAAATATTGAATCGTGTGTGTGTGTGTGTGTGTCTTGTCTCTGTCTCTATCTGTTTGTCTGTTGGTTGTAAGGTTTGACTCAGGGCCTGGGCTCTATCCCTGAGCTTTTCTGCTCAAGGATAGCACTCTACTTGGAGCCACAGTTCCACTTCCGGTTTTCTGGTGGTTATTTGCAGTAAGAGTCTCATGGACTTCCCTGCTCTTGCTGACATTGAACCACAATCCTTAGATATTAGCCTCCTGAGTAGCTAGGATTACAGGCATGAATCACCAGCACCTGGCTTAATTATTGATTTTTTGTTTGTTTCTTTGTTTTTGTTGGTTGTGGGGCCTGAACTCTGAGCCAGGCACTGTCCCTCAGCTCTTTAGCTCAAGGCTAGCATTCTACCACTTGAGCCACAGTGCCACTTCCGGCTTTTTCTGCTTATGTGGTGCTGAGGAATTGAACCGAGGGCCTCATGCATGCAAGGCAAGCACTCTACCACTGAGCCACCTTCCCAGCCTATGGCTTAATTATTGAATCTTATACTGGATCTAAACTCAGGGCCTCCCACCTGTTTGACATGGTTGGCTGGTGCTTTACTATTTGAGCCACCTCTCCATACTGGCCTTTTCTGGTTATTTTTGAAGATGTAGTCTCTTGTGGACTTTTCTACCCAGGCTGGCTTCAAATTAAGTTCTTCTGGTTCTCAGCTTCCTGAGTAGCTACGGTTATATGCATTATTTACTAGTGTCCAGCTTAATTATTAAATCCAAATGGTTGGGTGTGATGGCATACATCTGTAATCTTTTCTACTTGGGAGGCAGCCTAGGAAGATCACAGTTTGATGACATCTAGACCAAAAAAAGTTAAGAGGCCTCATTTCAACAAAAAAACCAGTTATAGTGGTTCATGTGTTTCAACTACATGGGAAGTGAGGTAAGATTGCAACCTTAATGACCCTATATAGAATGTATGAGACCCTACCTGAGAAGTGAACAAAAAGCAAAGGATGGAGATGTGGCTAAAGCAGTAGAGTACTTCCCTATAACAAGCTTGAGGCCCTATATTTAAACCCCAATGTAGTGTGTGTGTGTGTGTGTGTGTGTGTGTGTGTGTGTGTGTCTGTCTGTCTGTCTATCTATCTGTCTATATCTGTGTCTATGTTTGTGTCTGTAATCTTAAATGAATGCTGCTGTTCTTAAGGCTGAGTGTGCAGTGAAGGGTAGTGTGGGATGGGAAGTGGCTGATAACTTGATTTATGATAAAATACAGTAGTCCTTTTTTAGGATTTCCATGAAATCTTTGTTCTTTTGTTTATTTTCCCTTTGAATGTTTGAATGTAGGATGTAGCCCAGCGGATGTTGGCCACAGGCGAGTGTACTCCTGAGGATCTGTGTTTCTCCCTGCAGGTAATGGAGTGAAAAGATGGAGTGGAAAGTTGGGGTTGGAAGATCTTTCCTATAGTTAGAACAGAAAAAAAGCTGTGATGCACTGTTTCGCTTGTCTCCACAGGAAACTGTGTTTGCCATGCTGGTAGAGATTACAGAGCGAGCCATGGCACATTGTGGCTCCCAGGAAGCCCTCATTGTGGGAGGAGTAGGATGTATGTACAATTGAACAGTGTTACTATTTCCTTGTCTTGGCATTGCATATATTCAACTATTCTAAGTTTAAGGAAATCACATGCTTCACTTCTCATCCTGTCTCTCTCAGTCCTTGTTCGTCCTCCCTATCTCCTAAGGGTGCTTGTAAAGCCAGACTATGGAGAGATGGCTGAAATGACATCAAACTAACCTTATTCCCTATCTGTTCATAGGTAATATGAGATTACAGGAGATGATGGAGACAATGTGTCAGGAACGTGAAGCCAAGCTTTTTGCCACAGATGAGAGGTGAAGGCCCCTTCCCTTTCCTGGTTTCTTCTCATGTATGTTTTTCTGACTTACATCACAAGTTTCATTGTCTCTTCCTTCCTAGATTCTGCATTGACAATGGAGCCATGATAGCTCAGGCTGGCTGGGAGATGTTTCAGGCTGGACTCAGGACACCCCTCAATGATTCTGGGGTAACACAGAGGTGAGTGATTCATTCTTTGGATGGGGTAGATAGGATTAGAGTGAGAAGGTGAGCAGAAAATCATTAGGTAAGACAGTCTAGGACCATGAGGGTAGAAAATGCTAAGGGATAGTTCCTATTTTTCTACAGGTATCGGACAGATGAAGTAGAAGTGACATGGAGGGACTAACAAGAGTAACAAGATCAGAACAGATAGTTCCCTAGTGGAGCTCAGAGGATCCTGGGGCTTTAATCTCTGCCCTGGGAATATTGGCAGTACTGTGGACTTCTCTCTCCGGTGGTCAAGATATGGACTCACAAGACTTAAAGTTCCCTGGAGAATCTCCAGATGACTTGGCAATAAAATATTTTTTGGTTTTGTACATTGGTAATTGGATAGTGTTGTTGAGGACCAATATGGAATCCAAACTGGATAAGTTCTTACTGATGGGATCAGTGGATAAAGAGTCAGAGCTATGGCTAACATTACAGGTAAGTCTTGGAGGTTACTGTTCAGCAGCAAAGCATGATGGGAAAGATTTTAACACACCATTAACAGTAATTGTATTATAACTAATAGTATGTTAGTGTCAGCCCCTGTTTGTCTCATTTAAATTCTTTGAAATAGATAGGACTTTGCTCAGAATAGCCTGGAGATAGGTCAAATATTAACAAGAGAAAGACTACCCCTCCTTCATACACTTCTTCCAGCATACTTGTATACAAGTTGTACTCTCCCTTCTTCCAGCAGCACCCTAACCAATCACAACATGCTCTGTATCTTGCCTGTATCACCACAAGAAGGATGAGCTACAAGTTATCTTTTACACTATGGTAACCATGTTCTCTCCAACTACTTTTTTTTTTTATTCCCATCTACCTGTCTTCTAAAATGGAAACTTCTGAAACTTCGGTGCTTACTGGAGCTAATAGCCATTTGTTTGCAAAATTCCATAAATCCTTTTAATATTCCCTTCACATTCTTTCAAAGAAAACCTGATTTTTATGAAAACTCAGCTTTTCTTGTCACTACTGTGATGGTAGTGGTGATGTCTATACCGTTTGTTTTTTGTTTTTTTGGGGGTCCGGTTGTGGGGCCTGAACTCTGGGTCTGGGCACTGTCCCTCAGCTCTTCAGCTCAAGGCTAGCGCTCTACCACTTGAGCCACAGCGCCACTTCCGGCTTTTTTCTTTTTCCTTATGTGGTGCTGAGGAATCGAACCCAGGGCCTCAGGCATGTAAAGTAAGCACTCTACCACTGAGCCGTCTTCCCAGCCCCTGTCTATACCCTTTGTACTCTGGGGGGGTGGTCAGTTGTGGGGCTTGAACTCTGGGCTTGGGCGCTGTCCCTTAGCTCTTCAGCTCAAGGCGAGCGCTCTATCGCTTGAACCACAGCGCCACTTCCAGTTTTCTAGTGGTTTATTGGAGATAGGAGTCTCACGGTCTTTCCTGCCCGGGCTGGCTTTGAACTGCAGTCCTCAGATGTCAGCCTCCTGAGTAGCTAGGATTACAGGCGTGAGCCACCAGCGCCCAGCTGTCCTTATTTTCTTATACTATTTGCTGGCCTTTCCTCCTCATCCCTAATACCCCTGCAGCATTGGACTGCCACAATTACAACACTCTTGTAGTAAGTCTTGATTTCAGTGTCCATGTAAGTCATCCCCTTGATATCCACCTTAGTCATTCATTCCTTCAGTCATATTCTAGACAGATAATTCCTCTCCCCTATATCAAACATTCTGCTCTCCTGCCATATGCCCCCCCTCCCCCTTTCCAGATTATTCCATCCTGTATGCTAAATCCAGCATTCTCTTCTCCAGGACCTTCATTTTACTGCATACATTTACCATTTACTTCCGTCTCCCTGCTTCACTTCTAGTAGTCTTTTTTTTTTTTTTTTTCTGGTTGTGGGGCCTGAACTGTGGGCCTGGGTGCCATCCCCAGCTCTTCAGCTCAAGGTTAGTACTCTACCACTTGAACCACAGCGCCACTTCCAGCTTTTTCTGCTTATGTGGTTCTGCAAGGCAAGCATTCTACACTGAGCCACCTTTCCAGCCCTTCTAGTAATCTTAATCACCTACTTTCTACCCAGATCCATGTGGCTGAAAGGGTGAGCAAAGCATAGTCATGCTGACTGATCTTACTTGAAATTCATCACCCTGTCACCACAGTGGGTCCTTTTTGCCACCCAGCAACATTCCATCTCCTTAATCCTTTCACTTGCCCTCTTTTTTGATAACTGTTTCCTACCTTCTGACCTTCACATGTTCAATATCTCCCTCCATGTTCTTGCCCTTAACCTTGGTTCATTTTTCAGTGAGAAATGGAAACAATGAGAACATATTTGCAAGCCCCTACTGCTAATCTGACCACTTTCCATCATCTGTGTGTGCTTTGCTGTCCATTCTGCCACTAAATCCCACAAGATCTCAGCTGGGGCTAGCTTTGCTCTCAGAAGGTATTTGGTTATGAAAACTAGGAGGGAATTCTGCTGATAAGAAGTCCAGGATGCTGTAAAATATCCTAAAATGCATAGGAAAGCATTCAAGAGACTGCTAAAATGTTACTGGTGTCCTGAGTGAGAAATAATACCCATATGCCATGCACCTGCCCACAGGCTTGTGTAGATCTTAGCCTCTATCTTGTAAAGGTATGGGTCAAAGTTCTCCATCATTTTTTTTTCCCCAGTTTTTTTGGCAGTACTAGCAATTGAGCTTAGAGCCTCACATTTGTTAAGCAGACTCAACTGCTTGAGCTGCAACCCAGTCCTTTTTTTTTTTTTTTTTTTTTGGGTCGGTCGTGGGGCTTGAACTCTGGGCTTGGGCGCTGTCCCTGCACACTTCAGCTCAAGGCGAGCACGCTACCGCTTGAGCCACAGCACCACTTACGGTTTTCTAGTGGTTTATTGGAGATAAGAGGCTCACGGACTTTCCTACACGGGCTGGCTTTGAACCGTGATCCTTGCCGGGCGCCAGTGGCTCACGCCTGTAATCCTAGCTACTCAGGAGGCTAAGATCTGGGGATCGTGGCATGCCTCAGGCATGCAAGGCAAGCACTCTACCACTGAGCCACCTTCCCAGCCCCATCCTTTTGGTTTTTTAAAAGTTATTTTTCAGATGAAGTCTTGTACTTTTTCCTAGGGCCAACCTCAGACTAAATCTACTGATGCCTTCTGTGTAGCTGGGAGCACAGACAGATACGCTCTACCACATTTTTTTTTTTGAGATAGGTTTGATAACTTCTTTTGCCCAGGCTGGCCTCAAACAATAATCTTCCTATCTCTGCTTCCAGATAGCTGGGATTACAGGCATGTACCCTAACGCCTGACCCCTCTTCTCTAGTGTTTTTCTTGTCATCAGCATATTTTTACAATATTACAACTAATGCCCTATTGATCCATTTCTCATTCCTTTTTTTTTTTTGTCATCATGGGGCTTGAACTCTGGGCCTGGGTGCTGTCCCTCAGCTCTTCAGCTCAAGGCTAGCGCTCTACCATTTGAGTCACAGAGCCACTTCTGGTTTTCTGGTGGGTTATTGGAAATAAGAATCTTTTTTTTTTTGGGTCCGGTCATAGGGCCTGAACTCTGGGCCTGGGCGCTGTCCCTCAGCTCTTCAGCTCAAGGCTAGCACTCTACCACTTGAGCCACAGTGCCACTTCCGGCTTTTTTCTTTTTGCTTATGTGGTGCTGAGGAATCGAACCCAGGGCCTCGAGCATGCAAGGCAAGCGCTCTACCACTGAGCCACCTTCCCAGTCCTGGAGATAAGAATCTTATGGACTTTCCTACCCAGGCTGGCTTTGAACCTTGATCCTCAGATCTCAGCATCCTTAGTAGCTAGGATTACAGGCGTGAGCCACTGGTACCCAGCTCTCCTTCCTTTTCCTTCCTGCTCTATAGCAAAACTTAATTGTTTCCAGTTCTTCTTTTCCAATTTTTTGTTAAATCTCCATCAGAACCATTCTTACTATTGTCACTGCTTACTTGGTCTTAGCTAAATCTGATGGCAAATATGCTTCAAAGTGCAAACTAGCAGTTGCATTTGACACTCCATCTTTTAAATACTGGCTTTACAATATATTTTTCTGCTCTGCTTCCTTACTGACTATACTTTGCTTTGCTGGTTTCTCAAGTCTAGTGTGAATTTCCCAGAGCATAGTGTCAGATGCTGTTATCATATGTGTCTAGGGGGATTTCATCAAGTCTTGTACAGATACCACTTTGATGTGAATGACTCCAACCTGAATTTCTGAATATTAAGATGCAAATTGGCACCACTTGGATGCTTATATGTGTATGCACCAATAACTGGCCTCTGCGTCTCGCTTTGATGGTTAATCAGTTAAGAGTTCCATAGACTTTCCAGCTAGTGCTGACTTCAAGCCACGATCATCAGATCACAGCTTCCTGAGTAGCTAGGATTATAGGCAAGAGCCACCAGTACCCAGCTTCTTAATAGGCATTTCAGTTTTAACTGAAATGTAGGGTAGGGACTGACTCCTTTAAAGCATCCTGATTTCTCACTGTTCTTCAGGCTTACTGAGTTTACACACTGTCCTCTTGTTCTCTCTGCTTGTCTCTTCTATCCCCTTGCCTTTTCTACTGCCCTTTCCTGATTTCCTTCTATGAATATGTCTTGAGAACTCAAAAGTCTGCAGGACTCATACTGTAATCCTAGCTACTCAGAAAGCTGAGATCTAAGGATCATGACTCAAAGACAGCTTGGACAGAAAAGTCCATGAGACTCATCTCCAGTTAACCAGCAAAAAAAGCCAAAGTGGATCTGTTGACCAAGTGGTAGAACACCAGCCTTGAACAAAAAAGATAAGGGGCAGTGCTTAGCCCCTGAGTTCAAACCCCAGTACCAGCACCAAATACATAAATAGTCTGTAAGAAGCAGTCATGCAGTAGCAAAGAATAAAGAAGATCAACTATGGCAAACCAGAAAGCATCAACCTCATCTAATGAGATGGCAGTTAATCCGTTCCAGCTAAGTGTGTCATGTAGAGTAGAGTCCTAGAATTACCACATAATTGTTTGGATTTTTTTTTGAATATTTTTTTTTGGGGGGTCCGGTCCTAGGGCCTGAACTCTGGGCCTGGGCGCTGTCCCTCAGCTCTTCAGCTCAAAGCTAGTGCTCTACCACTTGAACCACAGCACCACTTCTGGCTTTTTTTCTTTTTGCTTATGTGGTGCTGGGGAATCGAACCCAGGGCCTCAGGCATGCAAGGCAAGCGCTCTATCACTGAGCCACCTTCCCAGCCCCAGTTATTTGGATTTTTTTAAAAAATTTTATTTTTTGTTGGTCAAGGAGCTTGAACTCTAGGCCCAGGCACTGTCCCTCAGCTCTTCAGCTCAAGGATAGCACCCTACCATATGAGTCACAG